TTTGTCACTCTAGGAGTTGATGTTTTTTGGAACAGGACTTCAATATATATTAACACTAAATGAATAAAAGGGAAGGAAAAATGAGGAGGAAGGAAAGAACTATTGTAATTTTGGTGAAATATGTTCTGGGAGGTGCACTAATTTGTTTTTTTAATAAGAACCAAAGATGTCCTCATATTAAATAAGGTTTTGTAACCTGAGATCACTGGATTCACCTCAGGAATTCAAGAACTTACTGATGCAAAATGAATTTACCTTGGGAGAGGCTCTACAGATGTAATCAAAACATTAAAAGGATTTATGACACCCCAAATAAAACAAATTACTGGTAAAATCAGGGAAGTGTCTTTTCTCACAGAACAGATACAACCATGAATTGTAACAAATGAACAAGTTCTAATTTAAAAGGCAGCTCCGTGCTTAGAGAAGGCAAAGAGTTTTCTTTAGCTAATTAGCATCCTCTCATTTTTTTTTTTTTTTTTGCTTTTGTTACTTCACGTCTAGATACAGGTACTCTTAGAGCTGAGGTATATCGGCAATCCTTATAAACTAGGGAACCTACAAATTGTTTTCTCTATTACTTATGGTTTCTGACTCTATATTATAAGGAGACGGGATAGGTTACAGAAATCATTTAGTTGGACACTTAGCTACGGGCAAATCCATACCCAAATCATCCCAGATAGGGGCTGTTTTTATTTTTATTTATTTTTAAATTAATTAATTAATTTTTTAAAAATCTGGACTTCCCTTCTCCCCCCTTAGTAATCTGTTCATATATGTCATAGCAGGAACCCTCGGCATTTGAGGATTTTCACCTGTGTGGTGAATTGAGCGGCATTCTCAGCATTATGTAAACGTGACAGAGATTCTCTCCCAGGATGCTCTGCTGTGCCATTAGAGTTAGGACATCATAATGTGTGTGGATAAAAACTCCAGAAATGACAGTGGTGCTGGTGGGCATTTAAGAGTAGATTAGAAAACTGACAGTCCCATGCTAACGGAAACTATTCTCCAAAGACAGGAGCTAAGGAGGCGACCCAATTAGTCTTTACTTCTCTAATTTCCCTGATTACATATCTCCTTTTACCCCCTGTCTATACCTAGTAAGTTCCCCCAGACATAGACCTAATCTAGAAGGCAGAATATTGACGCAGTGCAATTTAAAGGAGAGCTGTGTTATGCTAAGATATGTGGCCAACAATGGGGCCTACACAACAAGAAGCCCCTGAGGCATAAAAAGTGGCTGGTCCAGATAACGTGCTACAGTGGATTTCAAAGCAAATGAGGACAGAGACAACTAAATGTCAGCTCGAGGCTGGGAAACTTCATTGGCATGAGGGCAACTTTCCTGAGGCCCAGGGAACAGAAGCAACAGTGACCTATATCACACTTGATGCCTGAATTCTCAGACTCAGAGTGGCTCTTCTTTGGCTAGAATTCTTGGTTATGGGTACCTGGGTGGGTGTTAAAATCCCTGGGAAGGAAGGTAAATCTCTGCGAATCTCCATCAAGGAGTGCTGTCGGATATGCGGAGCCACAAAGAGAAGGTCTTAATCAGGCCAAGAGGTTTTTCTTTTCAAAATGTAGAAGAATTTTCCATATGTTGAGGTCTAGCTCATGCTGAGCTTTTCTGTGGACTTGATCTGTTAAGCAGTGACACCGAGGGTGGAGAGGGCAGGCTCTGGAGCCTCACTGCCTGGCCAATCCTGGCTCCTCAGTAACTACTTAAGATCTATGCCAACATGGGCCAATACTGAGCCTATTAAAGCCTCAGTTTCACCACCTGCACAATGGGCATAATGATAGAATGTGAAGTTTGAACAACGCCTGGCACAGAGGAAGGTTTTAAATGCTGTACGGATTGGATAAGATACGAGGTGTTTGGCAAAGTACTCGTGGCAGAGTCCATGTTTAACAAGTGTTATCTTTGCTGCTATTATTACTGCCAGTAATAATAACAACACTAAAGAAAGCGTGGCACGTAAGATGATGGACCAAGGCAGAAAAGTTGCATGTGCCAAGGTCACAGGAAAACTGGAGAGAAGTATAATGACCTGCACTAGCCATGGCTTAACATCTTGGAGCTTTATGGGAAAAGAAAGGAGCAAACAATGGTAGTAAATTAAGAGGAATATTGGGAGTATGGTGAAATTATCATCACTGCTTCTTTTTATTTGTGCTTATTGTGTGGTGCTGGGGTGATTACCAGTTTTATTTGAATGTTTTATAAGCTGTTAGATTTATTTACTGAGAGTGAACAGATAAATAGGGATGTTATTCAGCTGTGTGTCATGTCATGGCTTCTCATCAGCTCTTCTGCTAACTTGCAGACAAGGTTAATTAATGAGGCAAGGGCATCGTGGAGGAGGAGGGGTAGGGCTGGATCTGTTGAACGGTTCATCCTATTGGGGGAAGACGGGATGAATCAACTCTCACATCAGCACTCCTGGGCAGGGGGTACAGTACTGGATGGAGACTTTCATGAAGTCTTGAGAAAGACGGACTGATAGGGTATGTCAGAGGAGTGTGATCACTTTAACACTACAGGGTTTGATGGAAGCCAGAGTAACTTCTCTTTTCTAGTCCTGGATGTTCATGGTTGTCCCTTTTCATATTTTGTTTCTTGAAGGTGCCTTCTTACAGCAAGGTGTCGTTAGTCCTAAACCCAAGGAGCTTTGGAAACACTGTTGTTCTGTTTCCACAGTGGTCCTGCTCTCACTTACCACTTGTAGGTGACAGTCACCTCCTCAGCTGGATGTCCCGCGACTCTCGTATCCAAAGTGGTCCCCACCAGCCACACTCACCACCTTTGCTTTACTCTCAGCAAAATAGTTAGCCTAGTGGTTCGGTGCATAGGGCGTGGAGCCAGACTCAGAGTTCAAAGCCCAGCCCTGTCCCTCTGATGTGTGAAGTTGGGTATGCTGATTAACCTCTAGCCTTATTTTCTTTACCTGTAGAGTGGGAGCAATAAAAGTACCTTCTTCTAGGATAGTTGTGAGTTGCATAGACACTGCATCATGCCGAGCATATTGTAATATGCATAAGTAGTAGTTACTGTTCGTTTGGACTTTTTTGCGTCTGAAATCACCTTCATTATTTGTTGTTCTTGTCTGTCTCCCGCTGTTAGAATCTAAGTACCATGAAAGCAGGGACTTTTTACTGTTTAATGCTGGATTATGGGATCTAGAACAGGCTCCAGACTGGTAACTCAATAAAAATTTGTTGAATGATCTATTCATATTTAGGAAATGAGCCTGTCCAATTTCAGGTCATGCAGCAAAAACCGCTTTACTGAGCTGACCAAATGGCAAAACAAAAAGAATGCAAGCTACCTGGTCTCTTGCCTGGACTGAAATACAAAGCATTTCTCCACTTGCACAGCCCACTTTTTTGTAGATTCCAAATTTTGCAAGGCTTTATGATATCTAGTTGGTCACGTGAAAGCAGTCATTTTTTATCATTCAAAAAATTAAATTTCTAATGATACTGACATATACTCCATATTACGTTTTCTAACTACACTTTACCTGTCCTACCCTTCCTCTTTCCTGGGACATGCCCCCTACAAACCAGTAAAAACCACTAAAAGTGACAAGCCAAAAGCTGAAAGACAGAAAACAGGTGAAAGGAAGCCTTACAACTCCTAAAACTAGAATGGATCTTTCTAGCATTAAAATGACACTAAGCGCTACACCTGTAGTTTGCTTGTAGAAATTTCAAACTTGCTAATGCTTTAATAACGAATAAATGTATTGTGTTCAGTAAGGCAGGAAAAATAAAAAATAGTCCCGAGGATAGAGTTTGGATTTTTCCCTCCACGGTATCCCTTTGTAACGGGCCTCTGAAGGGTAAAGCGCCTGTAGGCAGAGCCGCCCTGAGCCTCTCCTTCGCTTCGAACCCTGTTAAAGGTTAAGGGTACGTTCCACCTGTGCCTTTCCGACGGTAGGCCAGCTCAGCTAAAGGTCGTTCATGGAAACGCCTGCTTCCCCACCTCCTTCCTCTTTGTCTCTGAAGAATTCATGTCAGAAAGAGTACCTGGTTCTGACTTTCACGCAGCTGCTGGTTTCTGGTGACTTGTATACGGTTTTTAAGCCCAACGACTTAATGGCTATTACCATCTCTGACAATGCTACGGTCACCCTAAAGAACCGAGTTGTCAGAAACTCTCAACCCTAAATTGGAAAAGGTCATGCCGGCCACATCTACAGTCCATTCTGTTGCTGTTGGTCCTCCCATATATGGTAAATGTTGTTTGAGAGACCGGTTGGTGTATTGTAAAATTGAGAAGATTCAGGTTGCCAAAGGCGTGTCATAAATTTCATAGGTCTTAATTTATGTTGCTATGGTAACTCAAGTGTTGGAATTTCCCCAGATTAGGAGGCTTTATATTCTTACCCTTAAAAGGACGATAATGTAGATTATGACTCCAGACTTGGTCCTTGCTGTTGTGGGGAACATGTACTCTGTATGTTGAGCGTCCTGTGTCTGCCAAGGTATGACCGATGTGGAGTAAGTGTAATTACAATGAAGAGTCCTGATGCCTAACCTGATTTTCTTTTTTACACGTATGAGTCTGGGCGGCCAAGATATTATTAAAATGGATAGTCTTTACCGAAAGAGAAAGGGGGAATTTGAAGAGAGAAGTGGAATTCCTCTAGTCATTCTAGAACACTCACCTTAAGGACTGCTATGAATTTGGTTCACTTTCTCCATCAAAGTGAATTTCTAGCGAGTGCTGAAGACCCTGGTGCATTATTAACAAGTGTTTCAGGAAAAGACACCATATTGAGGCATTTAGTGCCTCGGCAATGTCTGAAGTGAGAACGAGTCATGTAATGAAGCCCCTACCTTGAGACGGGAAAACCACTAAGAATCCTACGGGCTGCTCAAGATCATAGGCGTTAATTACGTGGTCCCAAAGCAGCTGGGAAACTCCATGCAAGTGACCTAGGATTGACCTGAGACAGAAATATTTCCCTTGCCCAAGCCCAGCTTACCTTATATCCTGATGATTTGATGTGCACGCCACGTTTGGTCAGAGTAGATTTCATTCGGATGAAAAAGGAACGTTCAAGGGTGTTGTCAGTGGTTAGCAGACTGGGGCTGGTTGACTCCACTGAAGAATACAAAAATATATACACACATGATTTAGATGTCTACACAGCCCCTCACAGCTACTGCTCAGGTGCAATCCTTGGGTTCACTAAACATAAGTGACAGGTGCTAAGAGCATGGTAATCCACTTACTTCATTTAGAAAATGTTTACTTTGCAGAAAATAAAAAAGAAAAATTAATGAATCCAAAGTAACTCTGTTCCAGTTTCCAGCAGGAGCTTTTCAGACCTTTTAGCTCCCTAAGTAGGGCCTAAAGTATGAAGTAATGGAAGCCTACCTTGCCACCTGGCCTGTGCACATGGAGAGAATAGTCATGAACATGGAGGACACTACAGATTTAGGGAATCAACCAAGACTGCGGCAGAGAGGCTTCTGATGAAGAGTAAGGAGAACTTGCTCTTTGTTTTCCCTGTGAATCCCTTCTCGTAATATTTGCCCACTGGGCAGCTCTGAGAAGCAAGAAACCATCTCCTGGCCAGTGTCCTTGCCCTCCTGAGTCAGTTTTCTTCATTGTGGGGAATAAGAAAGCATAAAGTTTTCTCAACTGACTTACGATAGAGGGCTTAGCATGGAATGTATAGACAGAGACAAGTAAAGACCACCACCACCATCAATTGTCCTTTCTTGTCACTAATGGCAGCTTGCTCCCTGCCTTAATCTGAACAGGATATTAACAAAGAATAGTCTCCTCCCTGAAGCAAGACAGTTGCTCTACCCTTTATACATTTTTAGACTAAGTGGAATACTTCTTTACTTCGGAAACTTAAACTGGTAGTTTGCAGTCTTGTTGATCTAAAAGCACCCGTATGCAAACAGGCCACGAGGCACCATAAATCTATTTTCTAAAGTATTTTATAAGTTTAAGTGTTTTCCTGCAAAAAAAAAAATTAATTTTGGCATTTTTTGGCCTAATCAGTGCTGTCAAAGTTGACTCTTCTAAAATAGTACTTTAAAGTTTTAAATTTGTTTTTGGAGTCTAAAATTTAAAAAAATGTGTGTGTGTGTGTGTGTGTGTGTGTGTATATATATATATCCATATATATATATCCATATATATATATCCATATATCCATCCAATGTGTGTGTATGTGTGTGTGTGTGTGTGTGTGTGTGTGTGTGTATATATATATATATATATATATATATATATATATATCCATCAGTAAACAGGATTTGTTTTGAGAAGCTTTCCACTAATGCTAACTTTTTCTGGGGGGAGGGTAGAGAAATATGTGTCATAAAGGGACATTTAAGAATTAATATATGTGAAAACAGTTACTAAAACACAAAGACAAACAGGCAAAACAAGATTTTTAACTTTAAGAAATACATTCCATGTATTTCTAAGGGAAAGAAATGCCTTTTAAAAAAATATATGAAATGTGATACTCAGATGAAAGAACAGGAACTATTGTAATAACAGAAACCTTGCTGTTGTGTCTGTGGCTTTCTTTGTATCACTGCTGTCTAAATAGGACTATATTTTCCAATGTTGGTGGCACTTCTATTCTGGGGTGAGGGAACCACTGACAAGTGTCCCTTTCTTATGGGTCTCTCTTAAGGTTTTCTCTCTCTCTCTTTTTTTTTTTTGTTTTAGAGAGCATGGATCTGATGTCATTTTAAATGTACAGCTTTTTATCACTCGAGGGAAAAGCAGAGCCATGTTATATTTAGTACTTTCATTTCTTCTGATTAAATATGAATTACTATGAAATTTTTCTCATCATCTAACACGCCATAATACGCCAACAGCTTTTTAATACACTATATAAGCACAAACTTCTGCTCTAAGAGTTTAATTTGCCCCTCTAATCCAATCACATCAACCTTATTTCTCTTATCAGAGATTCCCATTTTGAATTAAATGAGCTCATTAGTTTTAATCAAAAGCAGAGAGATCAAAACTTAAACGTAAATGCTTTAGATCAGAACTGTCAGTCAGCCGTGCAGTTCTATTTTACTAAAACACAAGATCAGAGACCCTTAGAACCAATTTTTTCTCGTAAGGGATGCCGAGAGCTTGAAGATGCTATATCCTTTTTTTTTTTTTTTCCCTCTCTCTCTCTCTCCTTCCCAAGGACAGATTATACATTTAAGGTTAGACTTAATTTATAGCAGTTTTTCATCCTGGTGGAAATGGAAAAGTATGCCAATCTACTGTTGTCCCTTTCACATTTATTGGCACTGGTCCTCAGAGACTTGAACTAACGTGAAGCCATCAGAATCCACAGCACAAACTCAGCCTTAAAAATTCAGCTCCGTTCAGCAAGATTGTGTTTGCAGTAGCTGAGGGAAAAATGAAAGTTCCCGCCGAAGTGAAATAGGTTTTAGGGCTAGGGTGCTGGCTACCCTGACCCCATGAGGAAGGAGCCACCTAACGATAGAAGAGTAATTCAGGCATCATTAGGAATTACTGTTTGCAGTATGTAGCCTTGCATAGTAAAACACTTAGTGTGCACATTAGAGACGGTGGCACGGGTGCTTCCCGCTGGGTGACAAGCTTTGTATGAGCCGTGGAGGCCAAACACTGCGTCATGCCCTGACTGAGGCCCTGCCTCCAGCACCACCCCCCCCCCCCCCCCCGTGTGTTACAACAGTAATTGCCTAAACATACAGGGGCGGCGTTAATTAAACCCAGGACAACTGGTGTGAGAGGAATGCTGAGGTCAGGTTTTGCTCCATTGAAGCTGAGATTTAAAATCTAAACTGGTCTCCAAGCTTTATTTCAGACCATGGGGGAATGGAGAGTTGAGGAGAAAGTGGGGGAGGTCTTAGAAAAGAGTTTGATTTCTGATAAAGATTTCTCTTGTAATTCCATAGGGCTTTCTAGTTGTGGGGATGGGGCTGGAGTAACGCTCCACGCTGTCTCTTTCGAAGGGGCGCATAACAAACTCATGCACGGCACTCGCATGCCAGGGCCGTGCTGCCTCAAGGGCTAGCAAACACACTCTGGTTATCTGGGCTCTGCAATGGCATCTCTCATGTAAAAGGTGTATTATCTGCAGGTGACAGACAAGAGGGGCAACTTTAGAAGAGCAGTTTTCTAAGTGTCTCAGGTGAGAAGCATGATTTTGATGAAGGGTCTATTGGGAGAGAGCATGGCCTTGGTGATGTGCAATATGACTGTGACATTGAAGATGCGTGTGTGTATGTGTATGTGTGTGTACACATGCATGCAGATATGTATGTGTGTGTATTGGGGGTGGGTGTGAAGAGGGCAGAGTGATGACAGAGGTGTCCTTAAGAATGCTGCTCTGTAAAGACAGCGGGACCAGTCTAGGTCAAAGAAACATTTTAGAATGCTTTCTAGGTATCAGATGCTTTTGCGTCAGCTTTTTGAAGCAGGCCATGATTGCCGCATGCTCTGATAAGAAATTTGGGATTCAGAGAAGTTATATCTGCTGCCTGAGACACAGGAGAAATTTATGGGTAAAAATGGATTAAGTGGTCAAGCCCAGATGTGGCCAGTTTTGACCCATGAATTATAAACAAGGAGCTGAAAAACAAAACAAAAACAAGACCCACACAACTAAAAGCTAGATAAAAAAAATTAACTCTCTTTTGCTGAATCTCAAGGGCCTCAACTTTTTAATAAATCTAAATTATCTCAGCTCTTGAAATGTCAGTTTTTGCATATTTTGTAAAATTTACAGAAAAATTTATAGTGACGTTATAATAATTTTTACGTTGGCAAATGCCACCATAATGTGAAATCATATCTGCATTATTATGCATTTGTTGATGAATCCCTAACTAGCACTGTAGTTGCTGCCTCACTATGATGCAGGGGCAGGAGGTGATGGGGGAGCTGGAGCTGGAGGAGGAGGAGCAGGTGGCTGAGAACCATCTAGTTCTCACTGGCCAATCCCAGGGTCAGGTTCATCCAAACACGTAGTACACTCTCTCCAGGGTCTCTGTCAATATACGGGGCCCGAGCATAAAGAGGGCTTTTCTTTCTCATGCACCACAAATGTTTTCGGGACAATCTAGTGTCAGAACTCTGCAAATGGCACCGAATCCTGATGGAGGAGGGAGGGAAAAGGAAAATTAAGTTTTGAGAAAACACCGTTCCTCTTCAATTGTGAACAAAGTTTCCCTTTGAGGAAGAAGAGAAGTTGGGCTACATCGCTAATATATGAAGTTAAATATACTCTTTTCCTACTTCATTGCCTAAACGAATCTTTCCCTTTTCAGAGGTTCTGTGCGTACAGGACAAACCAAAATGCAAATAACCAAAATGACTTTCACAAGACAAGGGAAGAGATGTTTGTCCATTTTGCAGTTACCTTGATAAAGCCAAATTATTCACTGGCATATGCTGTTAGCTTTGTTAGGTACTGCTGTATTTTAAGACGTTAGAATGAGTATATGTCAAAGTATGTTACAAGTTGTTTCTTTTCTTACAGACGTTTTCCTGCTCTTCCTTAGCCACTTGGAAGCCACTTGGAAGTTACCGTACATACTCATATGGCTTTCTGTGGTCAATGAAAAGGTGAACCAAGGTCATGGGTCACTTCCAGGTGTAATTTTTGAAAAGAGCCAGTCCCTTAGTAGAAAGAGGTACTTTCTCTTTCCTTCTGCCATGGTGACTATCAACATTTCAGATGGTGCCTGCTCCATCAGCCTGGGTCTTAGAATGAAGAGAGCGTGGGACAGAACCCACAGCCAACTCTCACAGAAATAAATTTTTGTTATAATTTCAGAATTGTTTTTTTTTACTGCAACAGAAGGTAGCCCATACTGACTGATACAAATACTAGATCTTTATTGTATAAAACAGTCTATGTTGTCCAATTCTTCCAGATAGTGGCAGAACACACAGACAGGAGATAATGTTTGTCTGACCCCAAAGATCATGATGTACCAATATACTATCCCCAGAGTTATTCATATCCTCATTTTATCTCCTACCCTAGGTATGGGTGGCGAGGCTGAGACATGTCTAATTTTCATCCCTTTTAGCACCTACCATGGTTCCTTGTTCCCAGAGCAAAAATTATA